ATGCTTTAGAAATACAAAAAAAAGTCCTGTACTAAGGGACAGTGGAGCTGGTTTTTCACGTACTTGAGATTTTCCTGACACATTCAGAAAACAGTTTCTGCCTACAGCTGTAAGGCTAATGCTTCCAGATCACCTCCCTGAACAGCACAATGTGCACTGAACTCTTTTTATCCCGCTGTGAATCAGAGAGGAGATCGCCCCTGGGTGTGTCCGACCTGACTGATAGGCCACACTGTCACCACCTCTGCCAGGGCGCCTGGAAGACAGAGTGCCAGCAGAAGGGAGAAGATTCCTCCTTGAATTTCAATTCTAGAATATCTGACTGAAGTCATGAAAGAGCCAATTTCATTTGCAGTCTTCCTAAACACCAGATAACCACTGCTGTAGTTCCTCCATGTTCTAGATAACCGTAATTTTAGGAAAGCATGAGTTCCCTTTCTTGCCCATTGCTTTTTATCTTCTTCCTCACCGTAGAAGTTTTGTTGTCTTAAAAAAAAAAAAAAGATAGTTACTGAAAATGATTGGTCTTCCAATAACTATTTTTTAGCATTTTTTTTTACCAGTACCAGGAATCAAACTCATGACCACGCACTTGCAAAGCAGGTGCTTATGCCGCTGAGCTAAATCCCCGGCCCTGATCTTCCAATAACTATTGCTTGACACACTGATACCTGTTGCTTTTTCCATTATTCTCAAGATGGACAATAATTACAGTTAATTAAACTAAAGTCTCCAGGTTACTTCAAATTGGCTTTTTTCTAAAATCACCTACTGCTGGAGATTTTACTGCCACATACTAAATTCCAATATTCCTTATTCAAGATGGGACAGAAATCATCACAGCTAAAATAAAAGAAGCAGACAGCATCAAACTACATGACTCTGCTTTGGATAACTCGCCCCTTGCACCAGAATAGATGTAGAAATGAATCCAAAGGCCGGCAGAGTTGACAATCTAGGACTAGATAAAAGCAAGACTCTAAATTAAGAAAACAGCTACTTGGAAGACAATTCAGATTTTCCATTATGAAAAGAAAGCATTTCAAGTGTAAACATTTAGACAGGAGGAAAATAATGTGATTTTTTTCTGCATCATGCACCCATTATTAACACAAATGAGCATTTTCTAACTCTGTGTGGAGTTGTGATCCAGTGTCTGTGCTCAGGGGCTGCCCTGCTCTGTAAAACTATACTTGCATCTTTTTTTAAAATTTGATTTCATCGCGGATTCATTGTACATCTGAGAAGGACCATGGGCATTCGTATTCCTGAATCAAGAAATACGGGCATCTCAGCACAAGCCCAAAATTAAACCGTAACTAGTAGTAAGTAAAATGTAATGGCCAGTGTGTACGGGAAAAGATACCACGATGTTTATGCACTGACTGACATGCTGTGACTCAACCAGAAAACTTAAAGCTTCTAGTGCCGTTTTGTTCTATGCTACATTTTACAGTTTGCTTTCCTTGAAACAGAGTAAGTTATTCTATATTAACAAAATAGTCTCAGGTTTGAGAATTGCTGCTTCCCTCAATTATTCCTCTCTTAGAAATTCATAATATGCATTATTAGCCCATTAAATACTTCGAAGTTTTGCAAAAAGTAGTAACTGTCTTGAACTCAGCCTCTGCCAGAATTAATTAACCAAGGAATATTTGTATGCATTTCTGTTTTCTGGGAACATCGAACTGAAGTTGTCAGACCCTCAGTTACAGTAGGGACAGTACTATTTTATACATCACATTTTAAAATATGTTATTGAACTTCTGGCTCTAGTCTTTCTTCAGTGATACCTTCAACAAATTGTAAAGTGGATATTTTGAACCCAACTTCCCTATTAGCAGACACCTACTTTAGGTGTGACGTGGGAAAGGATTAACCACAGTTCCTTTTTCTTCTGAATCTTCCTTTAGAGAATTTGTGGACGAGTAGTTTCCTCATTTTGATAATGACCAAGCAAAAAGTATTTGCTTAACAGAGTCAGAGTAGATCCATGTCCGAAACTTCTATTTCCGGGCGTGGTGGCTCTCACACCTGTAATCCCAGCACTTGAGAGACTGAGGCAGGAGGATCCTTCTGAGTTCGAGACCAGCCTGGGCTACAAAACAAGCTCAAGGCCAGCCTGGACTGCATAATGAGACCTTGTCTCAAAAAGACCAAAAAAAAAAAAAAAAAAAAAAAAATTACTCAAGAGCATAAAATAAGAGAGATTGATTTTTCTTTGTTTTGATATGTTCTGTTTAAAGAGCGTCTGCCAGAGATGGAGAGCGTGAGGTGTTTCGTCTGCACTTATTATATTAGCTCTGAGTACCCGCCCTGCAAATGCCATATTTTTCCACCACAGGTATCTGAAGATGTGAATGAGAAGTGAATTTAGACAGCAGGAGCTGAACTGTGGTTCAGTGTTTCCCTTGAAAAAGTAAAAGGATATAGAGTTTCTAAGTTTATATTCCTTTGGTGAATATTAGGTTGTATTTTTCCTTTCTTTTTCTTTCCCCTTTCTCCAATTCTGCTCTCTCTGCTTCCATGCAAGTTGAGTTTCTCTTTTGGGTTTTGCTGGTTAAGACTAACTTGGTTTTCACTTTTTTCCAATACCACCATAGTATCATGGAGTTCCAGGGAGTCTTGGAAACGTCCATTCTCACGTAAGTTTTTTTACCTCAAACTCAAGAATCTTCCTTGTGCTTTAGTAGCTGAGTGTCCTATGCCTTGGTGATAGCACTTGTTTGAGTGGTAGCACTCAAGTGTTCCAATTCCCATTTACAAGGTGGAGGATGGAACACAAAGGCCAGGTGACTTATGCATTGTCACACCATGAATCACCACCCTCCCTGAAAGAGGGAGCCACTTTCTCTATCCAATCATGCAAGCTGAATTTTTTCTTTCTGTTTTTTGTCCTGAACTTTGTAGCCACTGTCAAATAGAATTAGAAGACATAGAGAAACACACACACACACACATGCACACACACCTACCTTTACCTCACTGCGGCATGATCCCTGAATTCTTCAATATTTAATTAGTATTTGTACCAGGCTAATACTAGTTTCCCTGTTATGCAAACCCACACCCATGCTAAGTGTCTCTAGGGTTAGGAACACAGTGATAATATGACGATAATATGACTATTTGGTTTCGGTGTTTGTGTACAAGGAGCCCCAGGTCATTTTCAGAAAAAAAAAAAAAAAGAGAGGTTCTGAGGAGTCTTGCCAAAGAAAGTGTCTCTCTCTCTCTCTGTCTTACTCTTTCCTTCTCTTTGTGTCTCTCATACACACAAAGCAACAATGATAAAGAATATGGACTATGAAACATAGGCAATTTAATTCTTGAGTCAAGAAAGTTGGTAAGCTGAATTTTGAGTGCATTCAAGTAAATGTCTTTATGAAACAGCTGAGTCCTCAGACAGTTGAAGTCCACCAGTTCAGACGTTCCATCTTCAGGACAGCATGCCCTTGAAAGTTAGGTGATCTGCAACTCCACTAATTCTAAGACATGAATACATCCTGGGAGCTTCTCTTCCTCTGAGCTTCTGCTTTCTGTGCAGCCTCTGCTGATGGGCTGATAAGAACTATTTCCAGATTGCCTTGAACACCCTTTCCTTCAAAACAGATGTGTGGGTGGCACCCAGCACAGGGCTCTGTGTGTTCAGTAGTGTTTTCATATCAAACTTTAGGGCGCTCTATTTCTTCAATACACAGAGAAAACCTCTCCTGATTGGTGGAGCCATTCTTCAATGCCCATCCCTTCAGGTTCTCCTTTTCTATCCCAAATAGTTACTAATGAATCTTCCCTAAACAGTGAGACACTGAGGTCACTTTACAAACAGATTATTATCCATGACCCAGTTTTGTCTTAGACTGATTATCGCTTTTCTTTCAGGGTCAATATCTCTTACAGGTCAATACTTTTTGTAAAATGATTCATCACATTTAGGCGCTTAACCAGAGTGAATCTTTTTCTACTTTTCAAAAAGTTTCCAAGTTTATTGCACTAAATGCAAAGTCTAGAGTAAAAATACGTGTCCTATGGTTAGAACTATCAGAACATTCACTTACCTTGGAGCACAGTAGTAAAGGAGACCATGAAATCAGAAGCCCTGTGACTGGATGGCCTGAAATTTGAATCCTGAATATCCCTCCACCCTTGGATAATTCCTTAATCTGTGAGTGTCTCCCATTTGCTCACTTGAAAAAGTCAGAACCCACCTTGGAAGGTTGTTATATGGATGCATTGAGTTAATACATACGGAACATTTTGAAACAAATGTTTGGCACCTGCAAGGGTTGGTTGGCTTTCTTCTAACCTGGCCAAATGACAAGAGGCTAGGGAAGGTCTGTGTAGAATGCAGATAAGCAACAAACAGCACTCTTTTGGCAGAAGTCTTCCCCATGGGAGGCAGCTGAGATGGTTGATGTTGCTGTTGTAAGAGCCTGGAAAACTCCACTCAGGAATTAGTAGTCCTTTGTGTACACTTTCTGGCTATCAACTTTTTCAGGTTAAAATCCTGAAAAAAAGAGAAGGGTTTCTGTAGCCCCAATATTTGACAATGGAAGTCCTCCTCCCTCTTCTTGAAATAAGTAAGGTTCTAGTACATTTGAGATTTGGGGCATTTTCACAGACATAAGCTTCAGTTTCAACATGCAGATTAATATTTTTCTGATGGAACATTCTTTTCCTTTCCCTTTTAAAGTGCACTTTGCACTTTAAAAATCTCCTTGACAGGAAAGTAAAAAAATAGAAGTTTATGCTTTAGCTTAACTCAGATTCTTTCCGAATAATTCTGTCTAGTCAGCTCACATTTACACACTTCTTGCATATGGTATGTGTTCAATGATTATGCACTGGTTTCAGTTTTTGTCTTTTATTTTCATTTTTGTTTCAGCAAACTAACACTGAAAGCCTTGTTTAGAAGACCTGCAACTTCCATACTGGTTTAGCAGCAGAAACAACAACAACAGCAATTTAGTTAAGTTTTCCATCCAATTCTGAAGGGACCTATCCACTTGGGCTCGTACGTTAATTTGGTGCATGTCTAACCACACAGGAGTCTTAGATCTGAGAATCGCCTGTGAGTAAAAAAAGTACGTTTGTTCTCGCTTTCAGGCCTCCTACGGTCAGTTGTATTTTATTCACCTGTGCCAGAAGAGATCACAGACCCTAGCCATAAGAAATATTCATTTTGGTGAAATGGAAAAAAATATACAGGCGCTCCCTCAACCTCATATATACTTCAAAGAAAAAAAACAATGAAAGAGAAAAGAGAATTTCTAGATAGAAAGTCCGAGTGTACCAGGCCATCAAATGGTACATCTTCTTGTGCCCCATTTGCAGGAAACACAGGAAGCAGCCTGAGAAGTTGTTTAAAGGTAGCCGTGAAGAACTCCTGGGATTCCTGGGGTCAGAGACAGTGCCGATCATTCTTCCACATCACACCTTCATCTGGACCTGACCATACGTAAACGGAAAGAACCAATATTTCTTTAGTACTTCCCCTATGCCCAGTACTAGTCAAAGTACTTTATGAAAATTAGTTCATTGACTTTTGTATAAGACTTCCAAGAGATAAGTATTCTTGTGACCACTCGATAGATGAGGAAACTGAAGACCAAAAATCAGCTCACTCAAGCTTAGACAGTCCGCAAATAGTGAAGCAAAGTTCAAAGGCCTGTGGTCAGGTTCTGGAACCTTAGGTTCTGCCATACCATAGCATCCGATTTTTCAACCCCTAGTGTATGCCAGGGCTCCAGGATCCATGTGGTCACTGTGTTTGACAGCAACATGCCCTGCTTTAGCAGGGTAAGCAGGAGCCTTTTAATCAGAATTTTAGGAAGACGAGAAACTTCTCTCTCCTAAAATCAAGGGATTCTGAGTGCCACAGAGCTCTTCAAAAAGCCACTCATAAAATAAATTTTTACAAAATGGATGTTAAATCTTCTTAATGTCCAACCTGGAATATAGGGGAAAACAAGGACAAAAAGTTTGGTCTCTCTATCATGGCTCTGTTACATCCAGAGCTACAGAATCTATCTTAGTGCTGAGGAGTAGAGATTGCCTTAAGGACAGGACTGTCTCTGATTCCCAGGGCAAAGACAAGTCACCAGCTCGATCCTCTTCACACAGGAGAAACTGGAGAGGTTAAGTCTACCCAAAGGCCTCATTCACACCCTAACCTTTAAGAGGTGTATGTGTCATCTTCCACTTCTCTCTGCAGAGCAATTAGAATAAAATCACCACCATGGTGAGGTCCTGCATGATCCTCAGCTGGATGCTTCACTTTCAAGCTGGTTAAATATTCCCAGATCAGCAACTCTGATCCATTAATTACACAATCTTTGATTGTCACTTGTTTTTCTTGTAACAGAGTAATTCACAAAAGAAAGTAGGTGAGGGAGTTATGATAAGAGCATTGCAGTATTGGGGATTGTATGATGGTTACTTATAAAGAATAGGAGAAACAAAAAGAGAAAAGAAAGATTTTCGTTTTCTCAGACTCTGAGCGTCCCACCTTAGCCAGGGAGGATCAGGTGAGAGAGGCTCTGAAAGGATCACCTGGCCCTCAACCCCTGGGAATTCTCAGCACCGGGTTTGTTTTTGTCTGCCACAGAGGTGTGGTATGAGGGGTCACCTAGAAGGTGAAGGAGAAGTTAAATGCTCTACTTCCTTACGGTGAAGTAATACTCTGCAGTCAAACCAGGTGAGCTGAAATAACTCAGTATGCTTCTCCATAGAGCAAACACATTTGATCGCACACTTCCTCAAACCTTATTCCCATACTGAATTCCTGCCTCACCGCAGCCTGTGGGAGACACCTCAAAACTTCTGCCCAGTCCTCTGACACTGCCTGTCTGCTTCTGCTGCGTTACCAAAGCATAATGCATCCTTTAGAAGTTCTTGTGTAAATCACAGATGACTTGGAAAAGGTCACAACCACGGTTTATGAGGGGAACTCTTTCATTTTCGCTCTTTACCAGAAGCCCAGAAACTAAACACTGGAGCCACCAATGCAATCAAACTCCTCTCTGTGAAAAAAAGACCTGCATATTCTGAAAGGATGCTAGCAGTTGGTAGACAAAGTCTTGAGCATAAAACACATTTCAGCAGACCGAAATACAGAAGAATATGCTGCTGAAAGGAATTGATTCACTCAACTCTTTTGCCCACATCAAATTCACCTCCTTACCTTTCCCCCTTTTCTAAAGCTGGTTACCTAACCAGCTCTAGAAGGCCTAAATTTTGGCATTGTTATCCAACAGCTAGTCATGAGCATAATTGGAAGGCAGCCTGGTCCATTGGAAAAAACACAGGCTTTGTAGGAAACAGATCTTCCGCTGAGTTCTCATTCCATTTATTGCTAAGTGACTTGGGGCGAATTATTTAAACTCTCTGAGTTTAGTTTTCCATCTATGTAATTAGAATAATGGTTTGTACTTTAAAGGTTATTGTGAAGAATCAGTGTCTTAATGGGACTGAAGTATTTGGTGACTTAATGGCATTTGATAAATAAACCAGCTAATTTCAGGTAGATTAAGAAAGTAGGTTCGATAGAATAATTAAGTAAAATTATAATCTGATCATGTCACTTTCCACTTTAAATTTTAATGAATCCCTTTCTATTAAAACCTCAGTCTTGCACATATGTGTCTTACAAGGTGGCTCCCGCTCTGACTGTGACCTTGGCAGTCACATTATTGGTCCTCACTCCTCCGACTACACTCTGTGTGCCAGCCGTACTCCACTCTCTGTTGTAGGGGCAGTGGTGTCAGATGATGAAATTCATTCATACGGTTCTTTCTGGCTGAAATTTGTGCTTTCCTTGTCTGGCCTATAGCTAACTTAGTCACCTCTGAGCTTCTTTTAGTCACTGGGTGCCTCCAAAAGGCGAGCCTAGCATGTGGGTTACCAGAGTGTATTTCCTCTTTCTGAGCTTTTACACACCGTTCTGGAATTTCCTCGTCAGATGTCTGAATCCCCTTTACCCTGAGAGTTCACTCAGAGCCGAATGACATCTATTTTTCTCCTACCGTGCCTGGTACATACTAGGCAGCCACTAAAGGGCTCATAGTGGACAAACAGATGAATGTGTAGTGCCCACTGTCCATTTCTCAGGTGTCCAGTCAGTCACTTGTGAGCTGCTTTCCTGCTTCCCACTGTCTATTCCAAAGGTGAAACCGGATGGGGCAGAATGCCTTGCTGTTGAGGGAAGTTTGACAGCAAAATGGTTCAGATGTTCTCTTTCTTAGGAGTCAGTGTCGAAGACATAAGCCTAACAGAAAGCCTAACATTAAAAAAATACATGCTGTAATGTATGGTGTGATTATAACAAATTGTATAACAAATGCACAGTTATATAATCATGCATAGCAAAAATATCAAAAAGAAACAGGAAATTTTGAATTAGTCAGTTCTGGGTGTCCTGCTTTTCTGTATAGTCAGATAAGCTACAGTACCCCTTGAACTATTGCTATAATTAAAATAATGAGGAAAAAGTCTTCTAAATCAAATGCAAGTTTCTATTTGTACTAGAGAGAAGAAAAGAATTCTGGACAACTACTGATTTTTTGACAGCCTTATCTGTAAGTGTTTTAATTACCATTTAATTACCGTTACAGATGTTAGACTTCCCCAGCCTTGAAATTAGTGTCTACTCTACACTGACTCCTGGACAATCTCCTTCGCTACCTTCAGGACCCACTTCCTTCTGAGGCCTTCTTGGAGAAGACACTCCCCGAGTGAGAAAGGTCCAGCTTCTCCTTCCGGAGAAGTCCTGTACCATCTATGCATTAGCAAGTTATTTTCTCTATTCATTTACTATTAACTAATTTCCTCATTTCCCAATTGTATTTTTGGCTCCCTCCAGTTAAGACTTTACTTTTCAAAGACTCCATATATTCTAGGAGAGCACTGGTCACAGAGGCATGTCTTTGGAAATACCATTGATTAATGAATCCTGCATCTAAAGACTATGTTCTCTGCAACAAGAGGTACAGCTTGGTCATCTCCTGGGTTGTAAGCAATCAGCTCCCGACTTTGTTTTATGGGTTCCAGATTTCAACTGTGTTGCTTGGACTAGTACAATCAGTAGCAAGTTTTGAGTTAAGAAAATAAACGTTTCCTTTCTTCTAAGAAAAATTACTTTTCTTTGAAAAATTAAAAGAAATTATGTTTGTAAATATGTCACCTTTAAAAACAAAAGGAAAATGCAATCATAAAATTATGTTACTAGGTCATGGACAAGTTCTTACCTGTCCTATGTGAAATTTTGAAAATCCATGCATAACTTTGAATGATTTTTAAATTTCCTACATAATATTATAACAAGAATCATTTTAAAATATTGGAAGTCAGTAAACTTTTTTTTTTTTTTGTAAGAAGCTCCAATGTGTTAGAAATGTGCAGTTAAAATACAACTTTTAGCACGGTTTTAGGGTTTAGTATGTGAAGATTTTTTTGTACTTCGTCAGATGTTGTATGTTGCCGATTCAATATTGTTGCTTAATATTGCAGGCTCACAATTTCCTTAGCTCATACCAACTGCTCTTGAAAGGAACAATAATCCTTCTTTTGGTATCAACGGGTTAAAAAAAGATCTCAGCTTTACCCAGCCACACAAGCGTAACAGAAAGCATTTCATGGAGAACTGAAAATGGCCAGAGACACCTCCATAAATCCTTGGAAATAATCAGTTCTTCTTGGTTTGAACACTGGAAGCCTAAACTAATTTGAAATTGACAATCATATTTTCTGAGTTGTATAATACTTCTTTAGCTGAGTGAACTGGCCCTGGTTGGAAAAAGAATGAAGCCCACAGAAGACCTCCCATCCATACCTCAAAATCTCAGAAATCCCCAAAGATTAAGAGTATAAGTACACTGTTCTCTGCACATAGTAGGCATTTCAATTTTATCTATATCATACTTCAGTGGTTGAGTACAGCCACAGGAATCCAGCTAATGCTTCCCTCAAGTAGCCCAAGGCTTCATCAAACAATCCCACCCAGAATGAGCAGGAAGGACTGCATTAATGTCAGAGGCTCAGACTTCGAGATATGGTTGTGCTAGGACTTTGTTTTTAATGCTTTCCCCTTTTCCCTCTGAAAAAATGGGAAAAATACCCATTGGTACCCAAGTCATTGGAATGTTTGGGGGACATATATTAACAAGTTAGCATTTATAAAGGATTTAGGATGAGAGTAGCTATGTGAGTTCAAGGTATTTGTTTACGTTATTATGCAATCCTTCCTGAGCCTAATATGAAACAAAAGCAACTTTTATGACACATAACATATGGTTGCTAAAATAACCTCAGGAGGGACAGAGTACATTAATCCAACAAGATAAATAGATACCATTTGGAAGACTGAGAATTTATACTGAGATTGTAGGCTTTTAATGCTCTTTTAATTTTCAAACAAGGATTTTTTGAGAAAGAAAAATAGGCACCCTATC